TCGTTTCAGTGGGAGAGGTGCAGTGGACCAGTGGGTCTTGATGTTAATGGCATGGAAAAAAAAAACCGGACCGGACCGGCCGGTTCGACCGGAAAAACCGGTGAACCGGTCTGCAGTCCGGTCTGGTTCAGGAGTTGAACCGGGATCCTATCGAACGGTAAAGAACCGGTTGAACCGGTCATAACCGGTACAAAACCGGGTAATCCCGGTTCACTGGGTCAGCCGGTTCGTTTAAAAAAAAAATTCCTTCTTCCTTTCCTAATTCCCTTTCCCGTCGACTTCCCCCTATTTCCTCCCCGAATCTGAATATCTGATTCCCCATTTCCTCTGGCTCGCAAAATAGCATCTCGCCTCCCTCCCTAAAACCAAAATCACCTCCTCCAAAATCCTTGCTCCCTGGCGTCACTGACAGCACAGCGATCTCCGGCAGAGCTCCTTGTTCGACAGAGCTCCAAATCGCAATCTCGCAAGTCTGATCTCCAGTCTCCCTCAAACCATCTAAGCTTGTAAGTCTGAGGGTCTGAGCTCCAAAATGCAAAATCGCAATCATCGCAAGTTGCCGCAGGTCTAAGCCCCAAAAATCGCTTCATCGCAAGTTAGTGTTCCCTTCGTCTTCGATGCATTAAGTTGTGTGTGGGTAAGCTCAAAAATTTTCCCTTTCAGCTGGATTGTGCCTTCTTTCTCTTTTGCTGTTGAACGAAAGGTTGGGAAGGGAGGAGATAACCGGTTATTTCCTACGCTGCTGCGCATGTAAAGATTAAGATTGTACCTAGGAAAAGTATCTTTTTTTCGTTTTTAATTTTAACAAGAGAAAAATCTTTAGTTGAGAGACAGAGGATATGATTTATGGCAAAAATATACTTGCCTTGTATTGGAATTTGGAACTGTAAGTAAATTAATGTTAAGGCATCGCAACAAATAAGCTTATAAACAGCATTCACCGTTCTTGCTTCTGCCCCCCCCCTCAATCATAACTGATAGTACTTTTAAAGTTTTAAGATTGAGTCAACAAGATACATCGTATTCAATTGATGAGGAGTATATCCTTTACTGGTTGCATTTTTATCAACAAGATACATAATATTATGAATTAAATTATTTTATTTTAATATGACCGGTCTGACCCCGGTCCGACCTCGGTCCGACCAGTAACCCTTAACCCACTGTCTCAACCGGTTTAATACCCGGTCCGGTTTTTTGTTCCTTGGTTAATGGAAAGAACCCGAACGAAGAAGAAATTCTCATTTCTCACATAGCAGTTTGCCCTATCCGTGTGAGCACTAGGAGCGAAGGGGAGAACTGGCCGTCGAAGGAGTGGAACTCGCCGCCGGTATTCAATTCTTCATCTCTGGTTCTGCCTTGCTATTTGTGTTCACTGTTAATCTCTGCTCTTCTTCTTCCTTCCTGATTTTCATCTCTGGTTCTTCTTCCCCCCTCCTCATGATTCTTCTTATTGTCTGATCTCTTAGCTGCTGGATTTATGATAAAGGAAACTACCGTTTGAGGGTTTTTGCTTCATAATTTTCTTGATCGCTGAATCAAATATGTAGAATTTTTAGGATGCTTTGTTTTGAATAGATGTTTCCTGACCAGGTGTTTTACTTTGATGCTGTCTATTTTTTCTCTTCTTCTTCATTTATATGAATCTACCATCTACTTTATCATGCTTCACATGTTTCATCATCACAATACATTAGAAAACATGATATAATACTATCATTTAATTTTCCTAATTATTTTAAAATTCAGAGAATGGAGTGTAATTGGGAAGATTTAATTTTTGTTATTAGAAATTTCTAAAGGTGAAACTTCTGTTAGTTAAAAATATAGTTCTGGTACCAATTTAGGTGTGCCTGTGACATATGAAATTAAGAGAGCATAAAGTTTTTACTTTATATAATAGCATGATGTGTTCCATGGATCTGTCAGAGACAATCATACATTACTTTGAAAGTACCATTTATTTTTTCTCATATGCTAAGGCGTTTTCCAAATGCGTTCCTGATACTTCAGTTCAAAATGCCCAAGGTGGGCTCTTGTTCATGGTAAGTGGTGCACTCTTGACTGAAAACATTTGCGAAGTTGAGCTTAAATTAATAGAGACGTTGAACTTGATTATCGGTTTCATAATTGAAGTTTTGACGTGCCTATTCATTTATCTGATGTTTGCATTCTTAGAAATATAAAGATGTTCGCTATTCTGTCTTTCAATTGAGCCTTTCCGTTGAGGTTCTGGGCTCACGTGTAATTGCTGAAAAATCTGTTTGGAACTCAAGCTCCTTCCTTTTTGAGTGTTTGCATTTGAGTTTCAACTCTGTCTGTTTCTAATTGTAATTGTATCAGTGTTGGATGGGAATTTGAATCGCAATGTATAACTGCTGAAAAGTGAAAAATTTGTTTAGGACAAGTATTTGAAGGTAATTGTATGTAAAAGGTTTTGGAGTTTGTCCTCTTCTGTTGAGAAGTAATTGCTATTTTTGCTGTGTGTACATATTAGTATTCTTGATTGACATATATAACAGGTTTAAACAATTTTCTTGTGCTATATGTTTAAAATGTAATAATAATTTGAGTTTCAGAGCTGGTTCTTCGTGTGAAGTGATCAATGCATGCTAAATTAAAAGGACTTACCAAATCTTAGGCATGCCCAAAAGTTCAAGCAGATTATATAATGAAGTATTTATTGTTCACATATTATTGCATGCATGATGTGGCTGTGTTGAGACCATGTGATTAAGATCTACAGAGAGCGATTTGATAGGGAAGTTTTAAGACGTATGTGGTAGTTCTATAATAGCTTATGCTCGTAATTAGCACATTAATTAGAGATGAATCTCATTCATTTAAAAAAAGAATTTTATATGATTGATTGATTTGGGAGAAAATTCATTTCCCTTGACCATTCATCCGTGTCCATTTCTATTCTCTTTTTTAATCTTGTTGCAAGTCATCAGACGTAAAATGAGTTAGCCACATGCAACATATGAGTTTAACTTAGTTTAGCTTGTTTTATATGTTATGATTTTACAGTAGCAGAAATAGGAAGGAGAAACTGAACTTGAAACAGATTACCATTCTATACCTTCTCTTGCTTTTATAGCATACACTGATTCTTCAACAGTCCGAATTCTGAAGCCATACCCATGGAAGGAGAAGCTGTTGATTTCCAAGACTGGGAACTGCTCCACAAGTCAGAGGATGATGCCCCACTCATGGACTCTGGTAATTTTGCTGGCGTTGGAGTTGAAACTGATGGTGGCGTCTTGAGGCATGATTATTTCTCTATTGATGGTCAAAACAAATATGCCACAAATGTTTCAGGAGAGGGTGATGGGACTGAAGAGGGTTCTGTGGAGTCTGATAACCCGAGCTGGGTTGATCCTACCCTTGAAACTAGTCAATATAAGAGGAATAATTCAAGTGAGTTTTGGTCTGATTCGAGCAGTGATCGTTCTGAGGAGCGGAAGACTCATGATTTGGATGTGACAAGCGAATTGGCTTTGGCAGAAATGATGAAAAGCCGTGCAGTTTCTGAAGGAATGGGGGAAATGGAAGCAAAGAGTAAGAATTTTGCTAAATTAGGGTCTCATGATTTGAATGTGACTATGGAATCAAATATTTTCAACAATTCAAGAGGCCAAGATTCTGCGAAAGTTGATTTGTCGGACAAGAGCTTGGAGAAGTGCTTTTATGATTCTGATGGTGATGATTTGGGATCACATAATCATGCGAAGACTCTTGAGACATCAAAGTCTTCTGATGGATTAGAAGGAGATATGGATTCAGCGAAATCAGACCAAGAGGAGGAATGTTCAGTTGAGAGTAAGAGTATTCAAGTAGCAGAAATGAAATCTGATTTGACTCCAGGGGGTGTTGGAGAGAAGAGAATAGTATGGTGGAAAGTTCCATTTGAAGTCGTAAAATACTGTGTTTTTAAGGTGAGCCCTGTGTGGTCTATCTCTATGGCTGCAGCTTTCATGGGATTTATTATCTTGGGAAGGAGATTGTATAAAATGAAGCAAAAGAGCCAAAGCTTAAAGCTGAAGGTTACCTTGGATGATAAGGTTTGTGTATATCTAGAAAATCTGGTTATCTCAATAATTCTCATGGTATTGTTTTACTGGCCTTGATAACTGAAAAGACTTATAATTTTTGCAAGATCATTGCGTATCACTATATACTACCCTGTGATTGTTTAGCAAAAGCATAGGCACTAACACTTGTTAGTATTTATTCCAAGTAGCATTCCTTGCTTATGGTTTTGTAAACTGGATATTTCACCTCATGATTTCAATTGGGATTTGAATGATGGATCAAGTATATGCATTTACAGTCGTCAAATAAATAATAATTGATGTGCTTTGTAGATATTCCCTTCCATTGTCTAACATAAAGTTTCATGCTGAATGGTCATTTCTCTAATAATAATGAATTAAATTGGTGCTTTCCTTGTCTATGTTCGAGCTGGATGTTCATCCAAATCTTTTTTTTGGTTTCTATGTTTATACCGCCTTCAACAATATTGACTGATCGTTGATTTTTTGGGTTCCAATGCACAATTTTGCAGAAGGTGTCTCAGTTCACGGCTCGTGCTGCACGTCTGAACGAAGCATTTTCCGTTGTGAGACGCGTACCTGTGATACGGCCTGCGCTGCCAGCTCCAGGGATGACTCCATGGGTTGTGATGAGTATGAGATGAAGGCCGTTAGCAAGTTCCATGGCAGGAAGTACAGTAAAATGCGATTATGGTTGTAATATACATGGATACCTTCGCCTTTATTTGGAAGGACATATTTGTATTATGTTATAGCTTTGAAATTCTATACCTTTGCAGGGCCTTGTTGAATCATTCCTGGCTTGCTTATATATTGTACAAATGAATTATATGTTTCCTGTGTGTACTCAGTGGAAAGAACAAGATTGAGTCAAAGGTTTATAGTGCTTTAATATTATTTCTATTTATTGTCTCATATGTGCAATGTACAGAACTTGCTGACCAGGCTGTTTCGTCATTATTACTACTATTATTTTGAACTTATGACTGAAATTCTAATCAAAAGCAACAATCACCAATACAAGTAGAAACCAAAAATGAAGAAACTATTGATTATGAATTTACTATTTGTTGATTCTATTTTTTAATTTGATTCATGAATGAATGAATGTTAACCTTTTTTGTTGATTAAATTTCTAAGCTAGCCAATTTAAATTAAAAAAAATGATTCAATAGATTTGACATTTGTGCATTTCACCAACATTAGTTACATATTTGACTGAATGAGGGGTGGATTAGGCAAATTTAGGTAGAACTAACAACATGACCAGTTATGTGTAATGATTTCGAGAGTTTCAGTTCCACTGTATGATGCATTGCATTTTGCCTTTGAAACCTGAGATCTTCTTAACTAATGCTGAACGAAGTCAAGGAAGCATTTTTCTTTTTCATTACCATTGGAAGGGATTCCAAACCTCAACAGACACACCCACAGCTTCGCTTTGTCTATATAAAAGCTAAGGAAAGCATTTAAAGGAATAACTTTGACATGACTCTTGAGTGAGAGAGAAGGCGTGGATTAAAGGCAAGATTTTTCGCCAAGTTATGTTCAATGTGTGAAGAAGCGACCAACAAGGACTGTGTCTAGCGAAAAAAAATATTCCCTTGTAATGTGATAATTTAAGATTCAAATTGCCGTTAAGAGAAATGTCTACATTTAGTATCTGACAATATCTCAAATAAAAAGAGAATGCTTGTTTCTAGCCTAAAAAAAAAAAAAAAAGAAAAAGAAAAAGTGTGAAGAAAAAACGAGAATGAGGATGAAAGCTGTCTAAACACGATGGATAGATAGAGGAGGCTTGGATTAATTTTTATTTATTTATTTATTAATTTAGCCTCCATTAAGAAAACTAGATTAATTTTTATTTATTTATTTATTGGTGTAGCCTCCATTAAGAAATCTAGTCTGAGCTTGTGTTCAGACAATTAATATCTTATTTTTCGTCAAGTTCACCATCGTGCCTTCTGTAATTTCATGACATTCAAATTTGCTCTATTCATTTTTTTTTCTCATAAGACAATATTGTCTAATTTATACATGTAAAGAAAAAAATTTTAAGAGAAAATTAATCTATTTGTCCTTATAGTTTAACTTTACTTTTAATTAGGTTCTTATAGCTCTCTTAATTCTAAACATTGGTGCGTATACAAAATAAAAGAGATTTTAAAAAACAAAATGATAGAATGAAATTTATTTATTATCAATATAAAAATAAAAAAATACTACTTCAAGTCCTATATATAAGAGTTAGTTGTAGAATCAATTTGTTCTTAAATATAAAACCTCCATCCATTTTGTCTTCTGTATTTATCTATTTTACCTCCAAGTAATATCTATGATAATTACACATATTAAGGGATTTTCATCAAAAGGTAGTTCCAATGCATACAAGTAACAAAAGTATTTTAAGGAAAAAAAACACTCATTCATTAGAAATACTAACTTAATTAGTTTTTTTAATGTTCACAAATTAGTTATCTAATTCTCATACTCCTCCGGTCCTTAATATAGGACCTAATTCTTGAATTAGTTTTGGTCCTAAATATAAGACCCATTTCTCATATTTATTAATTTTCTCTAAATTACCCCTATGGATACTCCTTCAACCATAATCAATTAGAAGAGGAAGGGAGGGTATTAAGAAAGATGATTATGTGTTTTAAGAAAAATGTGTGACTAACTTACCTAACTTTCTTAATCTAATCAAATTAGTTAAATGGGTCTTATATTAAGAACCGGAAGAGTATTAAAGATTGGAGGTAATATTATGTTTATAGTTGTCTCCCTGCATCAATATGATATATAATCTAGTTTATTTTGATTTTATCTATAACCATGTGACAAAATTTAAGTGTATGCTAATTGCTAAAGTGAAAGCCATGCCATTAGTTGCTAAATCCGTTTCTTTTACAAATTGATGAATTATGAATATAGGAATTAATACTTATAATTGAGAAACTAGTAAAATAAAAAAAGGAAAACACTACAAAAACTTAATTAAAAGTAAGTTAAATTATAGGGATTTATATATTAAAATCCCATAATTTTAACTATTTATATTTAAATTTTTCTGTCTTTCCATTATGCCTCTTCAATTAATGCTCATAAATTTCTTAAATTTACTCTAAGGTGGGTCAATTCTTTTTACTCATTGACTAAGATTGTGTTTGGCTCAACAGAGGAATGGGACAGAAGAAATTTTAATAGAGAAAAATTGTTTGGTTTAGAAAGGGAGGGGAGGCAAAATATTTTTGTATGGACAATTTTGCCCTTATATTATTTAAAGTGATTTTTACAAACTTTATAGAGTAATTAATAAAATATAATTATAAATAACATTTAATATATAAAATCAACTTTTTATAATTAGAAAAATTAAAATAAATATAGTGATAATATATAACTAATACCTACGGTATATCCAATAACTATAATTGTATTTATATCCAAAATCTAATATAATGAAGTAAATATGTTTAATTTGAGTATGTTTTTTTCCAGTTTTCATTTTCCTCTATGTTGTTGGTACGAGTAGCCAAATAACTTTTTCAAAAACGATATAGATAATTATTTGTATGTTTTTGTTTTGTGTGCTTGATTTGCGTTTGAAAATTAAAATATATTTGTTAGCAATTTTTTAAAATAATTGAAAGCATATAAATGAGGGAAGAGAAGCATGATTGAATCCACAAGTATATCAAATCACATACGATTCGGGGTGAAGGGTAACATGGGATTATTAGAAAATAATATGAGCATATTAGTCAATATAATACAAAATATTACCCTCCCCCTGAAAATTCCACCAATTTTTGAGGGGAGAGGAGGGATAATGTTAAAGAATTTTCCTCCATTCCTAAGATCTTTATCTTGCTAGATGAGGAAAAATGATCAAAATCTCTCCTCTCTTTTCTCCCCTCCAAATCCTTCCTACCAAACGCACTGTAAGGCATGTTAGGGGAAAAAAAAAGAAAATTCTTTACTCATACAAATTTCTAAATCATCTTTGCATATAAGAACACTACAACCACAACCTCTAAAATTTTGTCATAATTGGAACCGCATGGAGTAGTACTTTTGCCTTAAACACAGTCATCGTCAGGTCTTCAAGACTTAATTTTCACACAGATCCCTCTTTCATCTGAGCAGTCAGAGGACTCGACCCATTGGCCATCACTCTTTTCTTTGGAGTTATACGAAGTAACTTCATTTCCTTCATGATTCCCCTAATTTCTTCTACCATTAAATGTAAAAGAATAAAGATGAATTCAGCACCTTGATTTTTTCCCCCTTAAATGCATCTAATATCCTAGTCTTTTTTATGATGCATTCAGCATTGTAATCTTTTTTTTTTTTTTTGTGCATCAATACCATAATCTTATTTTTAGTATATCCAGTACTTTCAGGATCAGGATGTTGGATGTAATTAAAAAAAAAAAAAAAAAGATAACATTGGGGTATTGGATACAAATAATAATAAAAAAAAAAGATCAGAATGTTGGGTGCACTATAAAAAATATTAAGGGTGCTAGATGCGGCTGAAAAATAAGATCAAAATACTGAATGCACTTTTACCCTATGCATAACCAATTGTTATTTCATCGTTTCAACATTTATGGATACGGGGATACCAATGTAAGCTGGGATATGTGCAGAGCACAACTGCTGAACTTCTTGCTCTAATGGACTAGAGAGAGTGATAGCATACACAGATTCCATGGGGTCATACCACCTGATCATGAGAGACGGGGTCAAAATCAATCTTTAAGAGAAGCTCAATGCAATCCGTAACATGATTTATTCAGAATGGGATTTGCAACTCAACTATGCACCCAGAGACACAATCAAATGTGCAGATCTGCTAGCAAAGAATGCACATCACATGGCTGGGAACTTTAAGATTTGTACTACACATCACCCAGGATGCATAGACCTCCTCTTTGAAGATGCTGCCATAACTATCTCCTAGGCGCTCTAACTTTTCCGAGTTTTTTCTTGGGCCTTTTACGTGAATAAAAAGAAAGAAAGCAATTTATACAAAACATGATGCTACGTCTAGTAGCATGGAAGTGAGTTGGTGAGAAGTGAAACTAGATGTGGAACTCAAAATTTAGGTGTTTGGTATGTGGAAGTCACTTCCATAGAACTCTCAATTCCATAAAAAATGTTAGAACTAGTTCCATGGTCCCTCGTGAGAACCCAGATCCACTTCTGATGGGATTGGGTCCTTGACCATTTTGCTCATCCTCAGCCCTCCCTCTGTTCGACACCTACCATGGCAGCAATGGTGACCTCAACGGTAGACGACGTCTTCTTGGCCGAAGCTCTTGGATCTCTCAAAGCCCCCAACAATGCTCTTGCCATCATCTAGAACTTGAGCAAAGAGAGCGGCGGAGGTGGAGAAGCGGTGAAGAACTCTTCTCTTTTTCTCCATGGCTCCTCACCTACCGCCAGATCTCATCTTCCTTTCTCCACGCCTCCTACCTCACTACCAGATTTCATCTCCTCCCTTCGACCTCTTCTCCATTCCCCTTTATCCTTCTCCATATGTGACTGAAACTTGTGAATCTCAAAACAAAACTTGCAACATGCAAAGCTAAAGCTTGTGAATCTCCCATCAAAGCTGAAATCACAGGTTCCTCCGATTGTGCTTTGCATCTGGTGAAGGAGATTTTTTTTACAGGGAGATTTTTCTTTGTTCAAGGGTATTTTACTATTTTTATTCTATTGATACATATTTCAATTAAAATTTATATCCCATCTTCATGATTATACCAAACATGTTTTAAAACTCACTCTCTTCCACTTCCACTTCCACTTCCATAAAATGTCTTCCATGCTAACAAACGGGCATAAAATTTAAAATTGACTTTTATTGGACACGTAATTCTTAGTGACATCAAATGCAAATTAAAAC